AGGCATTTTCATCATTTAGCTTCCACTTACAAGTGAGAACATGAGTTATTTGGGTTTCTGTCCCTGTGTTAGTTTGCTAAGAATGACACCCTCCAGCTCCATCTGTGTTCCTGCCAAGGACATGATCTCATTCCTTTTTTATAGCTGCATAGTATTCCATGGTGTGTATGTACCACATTTTTGTTTTTCTTTTTTTTTTTTTTTGAGATGGAGTCTTGTTCTGTCACCCAGGCTGGAGTGAAGTGGCACAATCTTGGCTCACTGCAACCTCCACCTCCCAGGTTCAAGCTATTCTCCTGCCTCAGCTTCCTGAGTAGCTGGGATTACAGGCACGTACCACTAATTTTGTGATTTTTTAGTAGAGATGGGGTTTCCATGTTGTCCAAGTTGGCCTCAAACTCCTGACCTCAGGTGATAGACCTGCCTCAGCCTCCCAAAGTGCTGGGATCACAGGCATGAGCCACCGTGCCCAGCCCACATTTTCTTTATCCAATCTGTCATTGATGGGCATTTAGGTTGATTCCATGTCTTTGTTATTATGAACAGTGCTGCAATGAACTTATGTGTGTATATGTCTTTATGATACAGGAATTTATGTTTCTTTGGGTATATACCCAGTAATGGGATTCCTGAGTTGAATGATGGTTCTGTTTTTAGGTCTTTGAAAAATAGTCACCTGGGTTTCCACACTGGTGGAAACTAATTTACACTCCCACCAACAGTGTATACGCATTCCTTTTTCTCTGCAACCTCATCAGCACTTGTTACTTTTTGACATTTTAGTATTAGCCATTCCGACTGGTGTGAGATGGTATCTCATTGTGGTTTTGATTTGCATTTCTCTAATGATCAGTGATACAATATTCTTGTAAATGGTTGCTGAATCTTTATTCGACTACTCGGAATCTTTATTTGATTCACGTTGATGGCACATGAGACTTAGATTATTTGCAATTTTATGATATTAACGCTAGTCTTGTATTCATTTTTAAGAAATTTATTGTACCTCCACCTACTTCTAAACCATATTTTTGCATTTTGAGATGATCATTTGATTTTAAGATCTGCTATTCTTTAAAAGTGTAACATTGGTTTCTTTACCAGGTACCCTAGAGATGTTGGGGAAGAAATTGGACCTGGTGCGTAGATGGAGAAATGAATTTCATCTAAGTGAAGAAATATGTCTGTTATGCAAGATACTCAGGTGCTGGATTTTGCATGTTTTCTCAAGTATATTTTTTTATCTGAATATGAAAAAAACCTCTCTTAGCCCACAAAAGAGGAAGTTTGAGTAAAACTTTGGTAGAAAAGTGTCTGAAAGGACAAGCTTCCTTTAGCAATACAACTCCAGAAGTTTCATTTCTCCCTCTTCCTCTTCTCTTTTCAAACTAGGAAACACTTAAAATACATGGACCCAGTTGAAAAGAGCTTCAATATTAGAGTGGGGGGTTGGGGGGTGGTAGAACTGATGAGCTGATGACAGGGAAAGAGCCAGTTCAGGAACTAGCCAAAATGACAATGGTGAAAATAATTCCTGTCCAAAAATATCCATTCCTGAACTGTATCTGTGCACTTATGTAGACTAAACTCACTCCCCTCAAGTTCCCTTAAAGAATAACTGTTCTTGGCCAGGTGTAGTGGTTCATGCCTATAATCTCAGCACTTTGGGAGGCTGAGGTGCACAGATCTCTTGAGCCCAGGAGTTCAAGACAGCGTGGGCAACATAGTGAGACCTTGTCTCTACAAAAAATTTAAAAATTAGCCAGGCCTGGTGTTATATGTCTGTAGTCCCAGCTGCTTGGAAGGCTGAGATGGGAAGATTGCTTGAGCCTGAGAGGCTGAGGCTGCAGTGAGCTGTGATCAGGCCACTGCACTCCAGCCTGGGCAACAGAGCAAAACCCTGTCTCGAAAAAGAAAAAAAAAAAAAGAAAGAAAAAAAGAAGAAAAATTGTTCTCAAAGTCTTTTTGACAAAGAAAATGATAGAAAAGTCAATGGTGGAGATGAATTCACACAAAATTATTTTCCACACCCACTTGTTCATTTTCTAAAAAGACTATTTTCAGAGATTTGAGACAAAAGGAAGTTTAGGTATCATTTAGTACAGACTTTTTTCTACATGAGGGAGTAGGTGGTGAATATGTTGTTTGGATTTCATTCTGATATTTGTTTTGTTTTTGCTGTAAAGGCTTGGCTCCTCAATTCTTGGTTTATATAACCATTTTTTAATTTTGTTTTATTTCTTGTAGAGACAGAGTCTCACTATGTTGCCCAGGCTAGTCTTGAACTCTTGGGGGCTCAAGTGATCCTCCCAGCATGTTGGGATCCCAGGTGTGAGCCACTGCACCTGGCCTTTGTAACCATTTTTGAAAAGGGTTGTTTCCCTAGTAAATAGTAGCTGCCTAATTCATAATGACTGAACTGAGTTTTCTAACAGGAAAGTATTTTCCCTTTCAAGAGATGAGGTTTAAACCCCTCAGGACTACTTCAACTTAAGGAGTGAACTGTTCAGCTTTCTCCACTTAATCGACTACATTTTTCTGTATCTTTACCCTTTCTTATTTCACTCCTTCTTATTTTAAAGGAAGAAATAGCCTTGTTCCTTTGCAAAGGCAAACTTTTCATCTGTGTTTTCTTTTTTCCATTTGTTTCATAAAATCTTTTTGGAAAAGCAATCCATGCTGATTAAATACAAAGTAGAAAATAGTTAAGAAGTCAATATATAGCATTTCTTTATCTCATCAATAATTTTCTAGAAAATGTAAAAATAACATACAAATCGCATTGGCAATAAAATGCCTAAAGTATTAGTAATTAACCTTATCAAGAATGCAGAGAACCTTTATGGCAAAAATTCTAAAACTTCATTAAGAATCATAAGAAAACATGAATATGCTGAGTTTATGGATGGCATGATTTAACATTCGTAAAGATGTCATTTCTTCTTGGGTCAATTGGGTCAGTCAAGAAAACTCCAATAAGAAAAGCTAATAGGATTTTTTGGGGTACTCAACAGATGACTCTGGAATTTTCATGGAAGTATAATGTATAAAATAGCTTTAAAAATTGTTTAAAAAGACCAAAGGCAGTGGGAGGGATTGGACTCACTCTTTGTTAATACTGAAGTTTGTTACAAAGCCTTCATAATAAATAATGAGATACTGGTGCAAGAACAAAGTCCAATGCCTTAGAATAAACAGCATAGGACACGCATACAGCACATACCTTTATCCACCTATCCAATATCCTTCATCGCATATGATCGACATAGCATCATATATCAATGAGGAAAAAATGGATTTTTAGCAGAAAGTAGTGGGAAAACTATATTATTATATAGAAAAAATAAAGTTAGATTCCTACCTCTTACTATATACAAAGGTGGACTCCAGAGGGATTAATGACTAATTGGGAAAGCAAAACTAAGAAGTTAATAGAAAAACTATTGGCAAATATTATGGTAATCTTGCAGTGCGAAAGGATTTTTTTTTCTTTCTTCTTTTTTAAAAGAGAAGACACAAGTTCTTCTCTGTTGCCCAGGCTGGAGTACAGTAGCGTGATCGTGGCTCACTGCAGCTTTGACCTCCTGGGCTCAAGCAATCCTCCCACCTCAGTGTCCTGATTGGCTAGAAATACAGGTACTTGCCACCACACCTAGGTAATATTTTTTTAAAATTTTGTACAGAGAGGGTATCGCTATGTTGCCCAGGCTGGTCTTGAACTTTTGAGCTCAAGTGGTCCTCCTAGCTTGACCTCTCAAAGTGCTGATAACATGGGTGAGCCACTGCACCCAGCCAAGATTTCTTAAACAAGATCCCCAAAGCAGAGGCCATGGGATAAAGATGAATGATTTCTAACATTAATATATCAGTATTTAGGATTTCAGTTAAGTGAATTATTCAACAGATAAATTTGACAGAGGGATGATGGAGTAGAAGAAATTACTTTTAATGTTCAGAGAAGACATTATACAGATACCCATGCAGAAATAGAGAGAAAGAGAAAGGAAATGAAGAAAAGAAAAGAAGGAGGAAGAAGAGGAGGAGAAGAGGAAGAAAAATAGAAATATGGGCAAAAGTGTGAGAAGTCAATTTACTGAAGGGGAAACATAAACAGTTCACAAATATGTGAATAAATCATTAAACCCCCAAACTCATAAAAAAAGAGAGAGAACAACAACAAAGCAATGCATTACATCCATCAGCTGGGCAAAAATTATAAAGAGATATACTAATGCTAGCCAACACCTGGGTTATCAGAATTCTCATGTGCAGGGAGTTGGAGTCAAGCTGGCCAGTTTGCTCTGGAGAGAGATTTGATGGTATTTAGTGAAATCAAGTGTGTGGCTAGCCTATGATGTAAGAGTTCCCTTTCTGGATGCCTACTCTAATAAACTCTTTCTCAGGTCCATGCAAGGACATGTATGAGGTTATTTAATGAAACCTTTTTTGTGTTAGTAGAAGGTTGGAGGTAACTTAGGTATTCCTCATTAAGAGAATGGACGAATATAGGTAGGGTGTGGTGGCTCACACCTGTAATCCCAGCACTCTGGGAGACCGAGGTGGGCAGATTGCTTGAGGTCAGGAGTTTGAGACCAGCCTGACCATCACGGTGAAACCCCATCTCCGATAAAAATACAAAAATTAGCTGGGTACGGCGTCATGTACCTGAAATCCCAGCTACTTGGTGGGCTGAGGCAAGATAATCACTTAAACCTGGGAGGTAGAGGTTGCAGTGAGCCGACATTGCACCACTGCACTCCAGCCTGGGTGACAGAGCAAGACTCCATCTAAAAAAAAAAAAAAAAGAATGGGTGAATAAAATAGGGGATATGTCCAAAGTGGTATTATATATTATGCAGCAATTAGGAGCTATAAGCTAAATATACATATGGTAACACAGTTAGATTTTACGATCAAAGAGTTGGGTGGAAAAGGAAGCAGAAGGATAGCAAAATATTTTGTAATTTGAAAACATAATATGCAAATCAACACTGTGCATGTTTCAAGGATGCTTACATATCTAATGACATTGATTTAATACTTTAGCAAAAATTTGGAGTATGTATTGCGATATCAGGGAAAATCTGAGGAGGCTTAACAGACCCACGGTGACATTGTGCCTTAAGACGTATGATGAACTTAGTTCTACACCTGTGAAGAAAATACATGCATTAACTCACGCAAGGAAGATCTATTTATCTATTACTTAGCAACTGCTGGAGTGAAAAAAACACACCACCCAAATCCTACCACATAAAAATAACCATATTTGACATTTTGTACACCTGTGCTCTTTTCTCCACCTCCGTCTCCCATTTTGAATCCTAAAATAATTTTACTTTTATGCTGAAACGCACCTGTTGACAGTTTCTGATCTTATCTTTTATTTACTTTTATTTTTTCACAGGTGCGCGCCACCATGCCCAGCTAATTATTGTATTTTTAGTAGAGATGGGGTTTCTCCACATTGGTCAGGCTAGTCTTGAACTCCTGACCCCATGATCTGCCTGCCTCAGCCTCCTAAAGTGCTGGGATTACAAGCGTGAGCCACCGCGCCCAGCCAACAATGGTCATTTCTTCCACCCGTCCCTTAAAGCTATTTTCTCAAAGGTCATCAATGGTTTCTTAATTTTTAATCAAGTGGTCTTTTCTCTGTTGAGATCAATAAGTATTTATTGGGTATATACCTTGATATATGATGGCAGGGTCTATGTTAAGTGCTGGGGCTATGAGATGATTCCAGTCCAGTTCCTGTGCTCCAGGAGATCACACTGTGGTAAGAAAATAGGTATGAAGGCCGGGCATGGTGGTTCACGCCTGTAATCCCAGCACTTTGGGAAGCCAAAGTGGGTGGATCACAAGGTCAGAAGCTCTAGACCAGCCTGGCCAATATAGCGAAACCCTGTCTCTACTAAATATGCAAAAATTAGCCAGGAGTGGTAGTGCACACCTGTAATCCCAGCTACTCGGGGAGAGTGAGGCAGAAGAATCATTTGAACCTGGGAGGTAGAGGTTGCAGTGAGCCGAGATTGCACCACTGCACTCCAGCCTGGGCAACAGAGCAAGACTCCATCTAAAAAAAAAAAAAAATGTGAAAATGGATAATCTTAATACGATGTTCTAATTATAGAGATAAAGTGTGCCCAGGAGCTCCCACTGGAGTCCCAGTAGGAACTTGCATTTAAGAAGATATGTTGGAGAAGATTCAGTCCAAGTTTTGAAGGGTGAACCAATTAAATAAGAGTAGGGAATTTTAGGCAAGTGGTTCTCAGGCCTAGCTATACATTTAAGCTTAAAAAATTACTAATGCCTAAGCCCCAGCCCAGACCAATGAAGTCATGTCTGGGGGTAGAATCTGCACCCCTCTTGTGATTTTAAGATGTAACCAGATCTGAGAACCACAGCTCTGGACTGAGAGAGGTATGGGAGCCAGGCAGAAGGGTGCAGAATGGTTGAAGATGTAGCTAATGTCAGAACCTTTTAATTTTTTTTTAAATAATGAGATGGGTCTTCGCTATGCTGCCTAGGCTGGCCTTGAACTCCTGAGCTCAAGCAATCTGCCTGCCTTGATCTCCCAAAGTTCTGGGATTACAGGCGTGGGCCACCATAGCCGGCCTAGTGTCAGTCTTTGATCCCAGACTGTCTCACTGCAAAGAATGTTCTTAACCACTTCTCATTACTGGTTCCACGTGACTGAGGTATCAGGATACGTAAGATTATGCTGTGGTTAAACAAACAATAATTTAGTGGTTTAGAATAACAAAGTTTGGGCCAGGCTCAGTGGCTCACGCCTGTAATCCCAGCACTTTGGGAGGCCGAGGCGGGTGGATCATGAGATCATGAGATCGAGACTATCCTGGCCAACATGATGAAACCCCATCTCTACTAAAAATACAAAAATTAGCTGGGCGTGGTGGCGTGTACCTGTAGTCCCAGCTACAGGCTGAGGCAGGAGAATCACTTGAACCCGGGAAGCAGAGGTTGCAGTGAGCTGAAATAGCGCCACTGCACTTCAGCCTGGCAACAGAGCGAGACTCCATCTCAGGAAAAAAAAAAAAAAAGAATAACAAAGTTTGCTTTTTATTTTTACATGTTTCCATTGAGAATCATAGGGATGGAGGGTGGGGCTCTACTTAACATCATTCATAATCAAAGACCCAGGCTTGGGGTCTTTCACTATTTGAAGCCAGGCTAAGGAAACATGTACACCAATTCTTTTAGGCTTCCACCTGCAGTGGTCCATGACACTTTTGCTTACACGCACTTGGCAAATCCAGTCATGTGTCCATAATGAACATCATGGCGATGGGGCATGTTACTCTTTTATGTGCCTAGAAGATAACTAGAATATTTGTAAAAATAACTCTTACTAAGGCTATGTGAAATCCAATTAAACTCAATTGCCAATGGCAGCCATTTATATTTGTCTGAGGTTCCACACTGTGGCACCTGGAAGAAGTGACTTCACTATATTTGCACCCACCAGGATATTTCCAGGGGAGTTTAATGCTGTGCTTTTTCATTCTTACATCCAATTCTTCCACTTTCAATTGCTTCCTTCCTTCCTTCCTTCCTTCCTTCCTTCCTTCCTTCCTTCCTTCCTTCCTTCCTTCCTCCCTCCCTCCCTCCCTCCCTCCCTTTCTTCCTCTCCCTCCCTCTTTTTCTTTCTCCTTTCTTTTTCTCTTTCTTTCTTTCTTTCTTTCTTTCTTTCTTTCTTTCTTTCTTTCTTTCTTTCTTTCTTTCTTTCTTTCTTTCTTTCTTTCTTTCTTTCTTTCTTTCTTTCTTTCTTTCTTTCTTTCCTTCCTTCCTTCCTTCCTTCCTTCCTTCCTTCCTTCCTTCCTTCCTTCCTTCCTTCTTTCTTTCCTTTTTTCTTCTCACTCTCTGTTTCTTTTTCTTTTTTTGAATGGGTCTTGCTCTGTCACCCAGGCTGGATAGCAGTGGTGCAATCATAGCTTGCTGCAGCCTCAACCTCCGAGACCCAAGCGATCCTCCCACCTCAGCCTCCATAAGTTGCTGAGATTATGGGCATAAGCCACCATGTACGGTCCATTTTCTATCTTTCTATGTCTTAACAAAGGTCTGACTTTCCCCAGAAATAAAAGTTGGATTTCCAAGATTTCAATACTTTCTGTATTTCTTCAGATGGAAACTCTTTCCTCTTCCGAGAGCAAAACTAATGTAATAATGACTTTTTGACCCAATTGCAACAAGTATCCACCCAAGCTCCATTTCTCCTTTTCTATTTGTGGATCCTCCCTATGTCAGGTTGATTTATGAGGCCAATTGACTCATGCCAGCTTCTTCCCGTCTTTTTTCCTTTGCTTATAAATTGAAAACTTTTTCCTATGTCTTTATGACCTCAAAGAACTTGCCCATAAGTAATCTCGTTTAATTCTCAAATAGACTCTACACTGAAGGCATTATTCAATCCCTTTTTACAAATAAAGAAAATAAATTTCAGAGGTGAAACAGGGTCTCATAAAGATTTCTGAAATATTTACCTCTTCTAACAGCTAACCTTACCTTCTTTCCACTTTGTATTATTTTCTCCTTTTAATGAGTCAAAATGTTCACTCATTCATTCACTCATCAGGTTTCCATTATCTATTAGAAGCCTGGCATTGAATCAGCCACAGGGTTGTAAGTACTTGGTCTCTGTGCTCTGCCATCCATTGCTCAGGCAATAGCCTTTTCTTCTTCTAATAGAACTCTAATTTTCTTCAGGGAACCAGCATGTTTCATCTCCTGATCTGAAGATCCCTGCCCCAGGCTGAAGGCATAGGCCTGATTGGTCTAAATCAGTCATACCAAGAACCAAAAAGCAAATGCAATAAAAACAAAGATAAATAGCTGGGACTTAATTAAACTAAAGAGCTTTTGCATGGCAAAAAGAACAGTCAGCAGCATAAACAGACAACCCACAGAGCGTGAGAAGATTTTCACAATCTATACATCTGACAAAGGACTAGATCCAGAAGGTACAATGAACTCAAATCAGTAAGAAAAAAACAATCCCATCAAAAAAAGTGGGCTAAGGACATAAATAGACAATTCTCAAAAGAAGATACGCAAATAAATGGCCAATAATCATATAAAAGATGCTCAATGTCACTAATGATCAGGGAAATGCAAATCAAAACCGCAATGTGATACCACCTTACTGCTGTGAGAATGGCCATAATAAAAAAATCAAAAAACAGTAGATGTTGACATGGATGTGGTCAACAGGGAACACTTCTACACTGCTGGTGGGAATGTAAACTACTACAGTCAGTATGGAAAATAGTGTGGAGATTCCTTAAAGAACTAAGAGTAGATCTACCATTTGATCCAGCAATCTTACTACTGGGTAGAATTTTACCCAGAGGAAAATAAGTCTTTACTTGAAAAGTACACTTGCACATGCATGTTTATAGCAACACAATTCGCAATTGCAAAATCGTGGAACCAACCCAAATGCCCGTCAATCAATGAGTGGATAAAGAAACTGTGGTGTGTGTGTGTGTGTGTGTGTGTATATATATAAAATATGTATATATATACACACACACACCTCTCATCCAGTGACCTCTCATCCAGTGACCTCTCATCCATGTCACTGAAAATAATGTTAATTCATTCCTTTTTATGGCTGCATAGTATTCCATACACACACACACACACACACACACATATACACACACACTCTCACACATATATATGGTATGGTATATATACATATATGGTGTGTATATATAGACATATATCTATATATGTGTGTGTATATATATGGTGTATATTTGTGGTGTATATGTATATATATATAAAACTGCAAATGCTGTTAATTCATTCCTTTTTATGGCTGCATACAATAGATTTGAGGGTAAGCTGGTGGCTTAGTTCTGGATAAGTCAAGTCTGCTGAGAAGGGCTTCTCTTCCCAAACAAAAAGTCAAAGACTAACATTGTGAAAGCCTTTCTGTCTCCCCTTTGCCCTTCCCAAACACGAACTCGATGTCCAGAAGTACCTCAGCCCTCCTGTGACCAGGGTGTGACAAAGCAGCACGGAGGAACAGAAAGAGTCTGGGTGCTTGATGATATTTTTGATTCCCTGGGCTGTCTACATCCAGGCTTCTTTTTATGAGAGAAAAAACAAACCCCGTATATGTTTAGGCTTCTGTGAATTGGGACTTAAAGGATTGTTTTGGCGACAGACTCATAAAAAATGTCTATCTGTATTAGATTTGTTAGTCGTTGCCTACCAAACCCAGCCACTTCTGAGCAACCGTACTCCATCCACAGCCCAATTGCTGAAACTGCAAATGGAATGGTGGCAATTCTGCACGGTGGGCTCTTTCTTCTCCAGGGTAAGGCTGATCTCAGGGTAGCCAGTCGCAGAGAGCAGCCAGTGGAAAACAATCTGAGGCCTACCTTGGAAAATGTGAACCAGAGTGGCTCAAGTTCTCCCTCAGGAATCTGACATTTAGAATTGAAAGGAAGAGTGAGTGAGCTCAGAGAGCTGGGTTGAGGGTTACTTAGAGGATTTGGGGCTAGGGTGTATAATAAGGACCATGAGAAAGCTGACCTCATGAGAAAGCTAGTCAGGGGAGAGGTTCGGAGAGGGACAGAAAGAGATACCCCAGAAAAGAGCAGAGGAAGTAACACCTTGATGTTTCCTAATGACGCGCTGATTCCAGACTGCATGTGCCCTTGTCATGAGTAACCTCCTCCTTGGGGCAATTTGCGTGAACCTCTATTCTTGTCCTGAAATCAGCTCAAATATAGGCAATAAA